ATACAACCCTCACATCAGTCACATACAGAACACACAAGCCTCTCTGTCTTAACACAGCAGAAGTTACTTCCTCCTCTGTTGTTCTCCAGGCAGTGACTCCTTGGTTCTGATATTGCTTTTCATATAGCTATTCAACTATTCAAAGATCTTTGATCTTGTGGTTCAACAAAAATCTCAATAACATTATGCAGCTTTTTTACTGACTCAGTTTGGAAGTAATACACATCACTTCAGCACACATTTCTTTCCAGAACTGGTCAGAAAATCTTGCCTAACAACAAAGGATTAGAAGATGTAGTCTCTCATATGTGCTGGAAAGAAAAAAAGATTAGATATTGTTAAGCACTGGTAATGTCTTCTATACCTAACATGTTCCTTGAAGCTTTAGCTTCCATATAAAATTGGTCTCAAGTGTACCTCGGAACTTTTTGCCTAAACCCCCAGCAAACGCACTCAATCTTTCAGTTTTCCAATTTCAAAATCCTATGAGAAGAATTCCTATACTCCTTGTCCTCCAGCATTACCAAGAGCAGCAACAGCCAAATTGAAAAGAAATTGTGCTGTGAATGACTTCTGATTTTGAGACTTAAACATTACAGAAAAACCTGGGGTAATATTTATTATACACCTAAAGAAAAAGGATTCTGCCAACAAGTTTATTTTTCTGGAAAACTCTCTTTGCCTTAAAGGCAGAGAACAAATATTTGAAAACTTAAGAATGTTGAGAAAATTATCAGGAAGACAGCTTCAGGAAACATTATAAGGAATATGGCATTTGGGGTTGTACTGGAAGGCTTAATAAAAAGGTAGCTATGAGTTTTAATAAGGACAGAATAAATGATAGAAATCAGATTAACACTACAATAAATACATAAAGTAGAATCCCCAAATATAAGATTAGAAACATAAGAGATGCTTCAAAATTCTAGTATGTAACAATGAAAGTTAAATAGGAGAATGCGAATCTCAAAGTAGAAGTGTTCACATTTCTCCAGAAATTTATTCAATATTATTTTTTGAAAAGAATTATTACTTTCTTTCCTAAATTATTGATTAGATGTTTTGAAATTACATCACATTTGTAACACATACTTGCTATAAAAAGTGAAATAACCTAGTGCAAAGATCTGTAAAGCCAGTCATTCCCCTCTTTGCTCTTTCCCCATCTCCATTTAGAAACAGTGTTAATGACCCCCTTTCTCCTGTACACTCAAATGTGTTCAAGTGAATATATTTATACCTGCAGGTAGATGGGTTGGTTGGTTGCTTTTTAACAAAATAGAATCATGATATATACATGCACTTGCAACTTGTTTTTTTTCATTTGACAGGATATTAGGATAATTATATATGTCAGTATCTATAGCTCTACTATTTCATTCAAAATAGATGTGTGTGTGTGTGTGTGTGTGTGTGTGTGTGTAAAACATGGAACCACTCACAATCTTAGAGTAGGTAAGTAGGATAACATAGGAGGGTTAGAATTGATACATTTTTTTTGCAGTTTGAACTCAGGGCCTGCACCTTGAGTCACTCCACCAGTTCTTTTTCTGAAGGATTTTTTTCGAGACACAGTTTCATGAGCTATTTGCCCTGACTGGCTTTGAACTGCTATCCTCCTGATCTCTGCCTCCTGATTAGCTAGGATTATAGACGTGAGTTACTGGCACCCGGCAAACTGGTACATTTTTAATGGCTTCCACCCTCCCTCTCTATCTTCACCTGTAATCCAGCCTCTGATCTTTCCAGGTAACCATGGTTTACAGCTTGGTGTGCATGCTTTAGTAAATCTCTACGTGTTCAGATAATCCTACGCAAACATATACACACAAGGAGCTTTAAAGAGCAGCACTGTCAGCCTGCCCAAACCAAAATCATCTGTGTATACTCCAATGTATCTTATTTTTCTCAATCAACAACATTTGATAGAAATTCCTCTCAGTCAAACACTAACAAATTCATTTGTTTTTTGATGGCTTCATCCTGTTCTATGGTATGATGCAATCTATGGATGTAATTTATTCACCCATGACATGACCATAAAAGTTTGTTTTCCTTTTTTAGTTTGGGAACAAAACATCTTTCTACAGGTATTCTCACATTGATGCTTTTTATAACATAGTTTTCTACCAGTGGAATTGGTGAATTGAAGAGTAGATATATTTTTAGTTTTAATAACTATTTCTATATGGCTTACTTAGAATCTTTAATTAGAACTGAGCAGCCATAGATATGTTGATTCAATTCTGTTTCATTGATCTATGACTATCTTTAAGCTATTTTAATTATTGTAGCTTTTTAGTGAATCTTAAAATCTGTAAAGTATGATATTTTTCAAAACAGTTTAGGCTGTTCTAGTTTTTTTCTTTTTCTTTGTTCTTTTTTCTGTACCTTTATGTAAATATTAGAATGACTGTCAGTTTCCTCCCAAAAAAAGCCTTCTCAATTGCACTATTGAGAAGTCTATTGATCAATTTGAGGAAAATTGCCATCTTAGCCACAGTAAGTCTACTACACTGTGAACATGGTATATTTCTCCCTTTATTAAGGTCATCTTTAATTTCTCTCTGGAATGCTTTATGGTTTTCAGCATACAGATTTCATACATATTTTGTTGACTCAATTTCATCTTTTTGATGCTATTGTAAATGTTATACTTTTAAAATATCAATTGCTAATTATGCATGACTAGTATATACAGATACAATTGATTTTTGTATATTCAATGAGTTCTCTTCTGAGTGAAGGGAATATGAATGATTCCTGGTCCTGTGCTGCTGCTCTGAGAATCATTTGCATAACAATTCCAGTTGTTGCTCTTTCTTTATCGCCCAACCTGGTGGCTTTTTGTTATTGCCCAACCTGGTGGAAGGTACCCTACATGCACAGATTGTTGTTAAAAAAACAAAACAAAACAATAAAACAAGAAACCCCCCTCATGCTGATAGCTGAAACTCTTTCTGTTTCTCTCTTTCCTCTCTGCAAATTATAGCCTCCTTGGCCTTCCCCAAATCCAGTCTCTGTCTCTTCAATTCAGGGACAGTGGTGGGCTTTGTTTGGATTCATCTCCTGTGTACCAAATTCTAGGGACTGTCATCTGGTAGAAAGCCTGGCTGAAGGTAGGGCTCACCACTGTTTGCCTTCTCTCATGTATTACAGCCCTACCCTATATGTCTGACAACAGTTCTGTCCTTCATAAAAAAAATCGATCATAAGAAATCAAATCTTTATGTGTTGACTGCTATAAATCTGCATTGTATTGAGGTTGTTTGTGAGGCTAACACTGCTGTGTCTCAGACATTCCCCAAGACTATCCTTTGACCTCAGCATAAGCTCTCTGCTCAGAAGCAGACATGGTATACTGTGATAAGTGAAGTCCAAACTCATAGAAAGAGTAACAGCTCCTCACCTTGCAGGCCCAAGGCTACTGTAACTTGTGGACAAACGCATCCAAAACCATGGAACTTGCAAGGGTACCACGCTCCCTTCTAACCATTTCTCCATAACTTGAAACAACAGCAAGCAAATTATCTGGGAACTCCTAAAGTAGATGTGTCCTGCAAAGTACAGACAAGATCTGAACTAGAGTTAAGAAATTGAATGCCCATAAACAGACTATGTAAACCTTTGGATGCTATGGTCTCTACTAATTAAAAGCTAGGTTATAAATAAACGGGGGAGCATTTATGATTCACATGGCTTTAAATAACAATGAGGAATTTTTGCCCCCAACAATGATCAAGTACTGTTTTCATTGCAACTGGAAAGGGTATTGAAAAGACAAGCCAGTTTGTACTATTTTTCCAAGGGCAGGATTATAGGGAAGAACATTTTTTTCTAAGCAACAGAAGATGGAAATTTGGAAGATTTCTTAGAACTTGGAAAGAATGTTTGTCATTTATCTCATGAATCACTCGGCAAGTCAGCCATGTACTATTTCAAATAAATTACTACCTTGGAATGTCACTTGATTCAAGGATATTCTCTCTCGAGCGCGCGCGCCCTTCCTTTTTCTCCCCCTCTCCCCCCTCCTCTTTCCCATCATCAAATCAGAGGTTCTGCAGGTTAGGGGCAGGACTCATCATCTCCAACAATGTCTGGGGAGAAGAGAGAGAAGGTTGCCTTGTTTATAAAGGACTAAGACTAGAGCCACCAGCACTCACCACCGTCCCTGCACAGAGGAGGAACAGAACGAACCCCCCCCCCGCCCCCCTTGCTGGAAGCTGTGCTCGATGCTCAGGCATGTGACATTAAATACTGTTGTTTGGAAGTCAAGCAGTGATTCTCCGCAGTCACACAGTGATTCATTCACACAGCTAGTCACTAAGCATTGGGAAACAGACAAGCTATTCCTGCCCGAACTGAACCAATGTCCCTACTCGTCTTGTGGAAGCGCAGTCTGGCACTGAGAGTGGGTTGCAACTAGACCCTGGAGGCTGGGAGGACGAAGAGGGACGAGGCACGTTCCACCACTGCGCAGAGGCCTGAGGCCGAGCCTGACTCTACCGCGTGAAACGAAGGTGGCATTGATGTGAACAAATGCTGAGCATTGGCATCGGTCACCTAGTTAAATCTCTGGCCACACTGTAAAATCCCTATTATGAACCCCCTTTTACAGGGAGGGAGAAGCTGACACTTGCCATGCGCGGTCTTTCGGGACGCGGGCGCCCCAAGGGCGGGATTCAGCGGCTCGCTGGAGCTGGAGAAAAACCCGACCGCCTGGCGGAGGCGCCTGTCCGGCTGCCAGCAGCGGAAGGAGAAGGGGCGTCCGCCGCGCTGCGCCCCATTCGGTCATGGTGGGTCGGCGCGGAGCGCAGAGCTGCAAGCCAAATGCAAAACTGCTGGCTAGAAGCACCAGCCCCCTCTGCCGGCCCACTCGCGGCGGGGAGGGGTTTCTCACGCCCCCTGCTTCTGGGTGACTATAGCCGAGGTCGGAAGGAAGCGAGGCGAGAGATGAGTCATCCCGCCTAATTCCGCCTTCCTGGTCCCCTAGCCTCCGCGCGCCAGCCCCCTCCCGAGATCATGCAGCCGGGAGCGAAGATTTCGCTCAGCCCCAGACTTCTCCACCAAACCCCCTGTGGCCTGCGGACGAGAGACGACAGACAGGACGGAAACCAATGAGAGCTCCGCTCTCTCGCCTACCGTCCAATGAGCCTCGGCTCCCAGGAGGGGCGGGACTAGGAGGGCAGGAGGGGGTGGTCCCGGACTGGCGCGCGGCGCGGCATCTCGGCGGCTCACAGACCAAGAGCATCGCGGGGAGTCGGCGCCAAGGCGACGCGGGAAGGCGCCACCACCGCGGTTGCCGTCGCTGGCCAAGGTGCTGGACACGACAGATCCTCAACAGCTCAGGCACCGGCTGCTGCACCCCCTGCTGCAGCCTTGCTTCCAACCAGGTCCTCATGGAAGAGATGGAAGAAGAGTTAAAATGCCCCGTGTGCGGCTCCTTCTACCGGGAGCCCATCATCCTGCCCTGCTCCCACAATTTGTGTCAGGCGTGCGCCCGCAACATCCTGGTGCAGACCCCGGAATCTGAGTCTCCCCAGAGCCGTCGGGCCTCGGGTTCTGGGGTCTCCGACTATGACTATCTGGACCTGGACAAGATGAGCCTGTACAGCGAGGCGGACAGCGGCTATGGCTCTTATGGGGGATTCGCCAGCGCCCCCACTACCCCATGCCAGAAGTCCCCCAACGGCGTCCGTGTGTTTCCCCCAGCAATGCCGCCACCGGCCACCCACCTGTCACCGGCCTTGGCCCCAGTGCCTCGCAACTCCTGTATCACCTGCCCCCAGTGCCACCGCAGCCTCATCCTGGATGACCGGGGCCTCCGCGGCTTCCCTAAGAACCGCGTCCTGGAAGGGGTAATTGACCGCTACCAACAGAGCAAAGCCGCGGCCCTCAAGTGCCAGCTCTGCGAGAAGGCGCCCAAGGAGGCCACTGTCATGTGCGAACAGTGCGATGTCTTCTACTGTGATCCTTGCCGCCTGCGCTGCCACCCGCCCCGGGGGCCCCTTGCCAAGCATCGTCTGGTGCCACCGGCCCAGGGCCGCGTGAGCCGGAGGCTGAGCCCGCGGAAGGTCTCCACCTGCACAGACCACGAGCTGGAGAACCACAGCATGTACTGCGTGCAGTGCAAGATGCCCGTGTGCTACCAGTGCTTGGAGGAGGGCAAACACTCCAGCCACGAAGTCAAGGCTCTGGGGGCTATGTGGAAACTGCACAAGGTGAGTCCTAAGAAAACCCACCCCTAACTCCCGCGCTTCGGATCCTCCAGTTTTGCGGCAGAGGGTCCCAGTCTTTTGCTCACAGCGCATCCCAGCGGGGGCGCAATGCAGGTGCCATCAGTGTCTGTCTTCCCGATCTGGTGCATTGCAGGAGGCTCAGGGGACATTAAACGGAATACAGGGAAGTTGAATGTCTCTAGAGAGTAGTTGCGGGGATGCCTTAGAGTGGTCCTCTCTCGCGGGGCGCACCACTTGTGAGCCAGGCACAGAGCGCCCCCTCTACGCGGCAGGGCTGCAGCCGACGGCCGCAGACTGTGTGGCTCTGCGCAGGTGGGCAGAGCCGCGCCAGGGCCAAAGCCTGGCTCCAGGCAGGATTCAACGCAGGGGGGGTTGAGATCCTGGGCGGAGGCGTCGGGGTGGGGCATCGGAGTCTCGAGGTCCGCGCTGCTGGACAGGCGGACGCCGTGATGCACGGACAGAATACTGATGAGCCCGCGCTGGGCCAGACCTGGCGCTTGCTCTGGAGAGAACGCAGGTCGGGGTGCCTGGTGCTCGAAAGGAAGTGGGAGGAGAAGGAGGAGGGAAAAAAAATAATCCGGTGGTCGCCATGGCAACGCGGCGTGCTGGCAAGCTCTGGCCTTGACCCTCCTGGAGGGGGACCTGAGGCTGGAGTGACAGGATCAGAGTTTTCTGTGCCTTGTGGCCTGAAAGCTAGCCGCGTCTCCCAGGGAAACGCCTCCTCCCAAAGCACCCACACCCCCATTTTTCCCGGATCCAACCCTTTCCCTCTTTCAGTCGCTGTAATGTGCAAACTTTGGAACACCTGTTACAGGGTTTATCTTTGTGGTCTGTTTTGATGGTGCCTCCACCGTGACTACTCAAGAAATGTGCCTTTCACAATTTGTTAGGCCATGCCACTCTGCTCAAAATCCTCTGATGGCATCCTGTCCTTAGAAGGGTCTGTCTGAATCTATGTGACCTCTCCCCTTTGGCCTCAGGGACCTCATCGTGTTTCACTCACTTCTGCTGCTCCAGCCACACTGTGCTTCTTCCTCAGCCAATACCAGGCGTTAGCATTCGGTTTTCCTTCAGCCTGAATCTCTCTTCCCCAGTGCCTCAGTCCTGATGGCTCACTCAGTTGCCTCCTTCCTGCCTCTGCTCAAACCTGAACAAATTCAGGAGGGAGGCTTTCTGATGGCAGTGGTTACCACTTACCTCAGACACCAGCTAGCTCCTTCCCTGCTTTGTTTTTCTCAGTAGTACTTACCACTTTCTGGCATGCTATCATGTCTTATATGTCAATTACCGTGTTATGTTTGTATTTATCAACCCCCCCCCAACACACACATGCACACCTACAGGAAAATAAGCTTCCTGAGGCGAGAGCGCTTTATAAAATTATGCCCACAGTGACTTAGAAGGAAGGGAACCACCCTGCGGAGATGTGCTTCAATTTAACTATTATGTTTTTTTAAAATTCCACTTAGGTGAGTGTGGAGGGTAGGGCAGGGGCCCAGGATTGTTGTAGGAAAGTTTTCTTTACCTCAGTGGATTGCACACTCAGGGAGGAGGCAGGGCAGTGCAGGTCGTGTCCAGGTCTCATGAAGAGTTTCCCAGAATTACTTGGGGACCAGAAAGATTAATTTTGGGAGATGCCAGCTCTGAGGGTAAGGCTGGAAGGGTGATAATTTATTCACAGCAAAAAGGTGAGGGGTCAAATATCACCACTTTTAGCAATCATTAGAGGTTTTTCTCAACTCTGGATTCCAAATGAATGGGGGTCTATGTTTACAGTCATGTGTTCTCACATATAACCTGTTAAACTATATTAGCACTGATGGAGACTTAATTTGGCACAAATTTGAACCTCACTGGACACATGCCACTGTTTTTAAAACATTTCAATTTGTAGTTTTAAATGACATTTAATTTTTAAAGTTTTCAAAACTTCAGTTCACAGTAAATTTTTTCTTCATATTACGATTTTACTCTCAGACTGCTAACTATAGTCTGTGTTAAATTGCCCTCCAAAGCGTTTAAGAAATTCCTCACCCTGTCTGAGCAAAGAGCTTAGCACCACATGCTAATTAGAGTGTTCAAACCATAGCATTACTTTGCTATGAAGTATGCCTTATCTGTTAAGACCAAAAGAACCTTTAAATCTCTGTCAAACGCTATATAGATTTGAAATATAAGCCACTTATTTTATTAATAGTGGAAGTTATGAGTAGACACTGTAGTGTTGATAGGGTTGACATTTGGAAATCTGCTTTAAAAAAAAGAGTAATGTTAAAACCCTTGAGACATGATGGCTAGAAGGCCATTTGTTCTCTTTTTTTTTGCATATTTCTCCAAATAATAAGTATGTATTCAGTCAATATCAGAATAATTAAACTACCTAGAGAAATAAGGCAGAGGATGACATTTTAATAATCAGTTGTCATCTGTTAGATGAACAATAAACATGACTCACCAACTTTATTTCCTTAATAAGGTAGTTTAATGTGTTAACACTCCATTTTCTCCTGTTGTCTATGTTCTAATTACTGATGCCTTTCTCTCTAAAAAAAGCACATGGACCAGAATTTCTGTGCCCTTCAAACCATAAGAGAGCAAGGAATTATACTTATTCTCCCACAGTTGGGCAGGTAGCTATCAACACAGACTATTATGCAACCTGGAAGTTTTTATTAGTATTCTACCCCATTAATCATTTCTAGTGATGAAGAAAATCCTGTGTAAGTAAGTATTCTCTTAGGCATAAGTCATTATCCTCCACATTCAGGACAAAATGCCTGAATTTTTGTAATTTTAAAAACAATTTGTTAAAATTTATGAGACGTCAGCTGACCGAATTAAAATCTTTTTTCAGATATGTGTGATGTTCAAAATCCATGAAAAACAGTAATAGATGCAGTAGCTTTGCAAGCCAAATATCTGGTAGCAGTTTTTCTTTAGAACCAGTACTTGCTATATTCATTTATTCAATTGTAAAACAAAACATCTGTTGTAGACATATACAAATTGGCTTTTGGAACCACTATTGTCATTTTGCAATTTTAAGCAATTTACATTTCTAAACTCTCACACTATTCTTGGATTCTTGATGTGTTTTATGTACCACTGAGTCAGTAACATATTTGTAATCATTCTTCTGTGTTTGTGCTGTTGAGCAAAGATTTTTCTTTTCCTTTTTATCCTAACATTGACTATCCATTCTGAATCCTGTCTCAAATGTTATTTCTCTCACCTTCTTTTTAAAAACAATTTGCAATTTAAGCATTTAATAATAAACTATCAGTTGATTGATATCATTTCCACAGTACTCTGGAAAAATTATCTGCTTAGTTGTATGGTGGATCTCATCAAATATTTGTGTAGCTCAGTGTGTTAGATGATGTCACTAAAATGGAGTTTGGTTAAATGTGTATCAGCAGTTTAGTTGTTATAATCTTATATTTCTATGGTCAGTGTAATAGGTAGTCTGTACTTGTAGTTTTTTCTTTGTTTTAATTTACTTATAGTACAATCAGAACATTCTGTGTGCAATGTAAACACTCTTACAACTCTCAAGGAGAATGTTACAGAGAAGAAAATCATTGTTTTCTAACCTGAGGCATATTGAAGGAGCTAGATGACAGGAGGTCCACGTTCCAGAACTGACATGGCCACTTAACTCCTATGACTAACCAAGTCTCTGTGTTCCCATCCACAGGGATGTAAAGCAGTTAAAATCTTATTTGTGAAAGTGTAAAAAATTAGTTTAAATGTTTATCATTTGCTAACTGCAATTTAGTGCAACTGTGAGCTGTTTGCATAAAATGAAGTCAGTGTCTCTCACTGTTCAACAAAGACTACACAAAAATCTCGCCCCCAGTTTGCGTTAGTTTGCTTGCACAAAGTGCACAAGGTATTCGGTCCACAGCTACTCTGAAGGTGACCTAAGGAGAATCTCTTCCTTATGGGTCCATAGGGAGTACTCAGTTGAATTAGGCTGAAGGAATGTGGCTACCACAAAGATTTATATATTAAGCAAAGGTATGTTGCTTTTCCATGGAAAGCTAAGGTGATAATGAGGACTCCAAGAAAACACTGTTATCACTTCGAAGTAGCTGAAGTTTTTTTCCTGTATATGCCATAGAAAGATGCTGTTAATTGGAATCACAGATGAAATGACAGTTTGCATAAAGATTATCACAGTCACCTGCTACTGGGTCATAAGAAATAATGTACGGGCAAAATTTATTCTTACTAGCAATATATTGAATGGCACTTCCCTCATCTAAATAAGCAAACAGACTTTTTAGTATGTATCTATATTTTCAGATCTTGAGTATCACTTGTCTGAAATGCTTGGAACCAGAAGTGTGTTTTAGACTTGTTTGGATTTTGGAATATTTGCATATATCTAGTAAGATATCATAGGAAATAAAACCTAAATCTAATTCATTTACATTTCATATACACCTTATTCACATAGCCTGAGGGTAATTTTATATGATATTTTTAGTGTCCCAGTGTTTTGGTTGAGATTCATCTCATGAGATCAAGTATGGAATTTTCCACTTGTGATGTCATGTACACACTGAAAAAATGTTGGATTTTGGAGCATTTTGGATTTTAGATTTTCAGATTCGAGATGCTCAACCTGTAACTTTGGCACCCAGAGAAGAATAAAACCAATTGCATGATAAATGTTTAAGAACCAAATTGTTCTAAATAATATTTTAAAGTCAGTTTTACCAGAGACTATTGGTGGTAAGGAACAGAAATTCACTTGGGTAATCTCAGAGGCTTTCATGGGAAGTAAAATGAAATTTACATTTTAGAAGAATGGACCTGGAAAACCAGATGCTACATCCACTCTCGTGGTCAGCTTCGACAAAGTCATGCTGCGGTGAATTATAGAACATCTCATGTAATTCCTTACTCATGTCATTAGCACTGGGAGTCCTTTGTGTTGCTTTAGCTAGTTTGTGATGTTTCTCTGTCACTTTCAA